CAAGGCCCTGGCGCCCGAGTACGCCAAGGCGGCGGCGAAGCTGCGCGAGGAGGGCTCCGAGATCCGCCTGGCCAAGGTGGACGCCACGGAGGAGTCGGAGCTGGCGCAGCAGTTCGGCGTGCGCGGGTACCCCACCATCAAGTTCTTCCGCAACGGCGACAAGGACGCGCCCAAGGAGTACACGGGTGAGCGGGGGCGCCCCGGGAGGGCGGGGAGGGCCCCGCTCCGCGGCGGGAGGTGCCGTGGGGCCCCCTTAAAACGGCTCCGCCGGCCTCCGTTTCCTTAGCGCCGTGGGGAGGGCTGCCCCACGGGGCCCTGGGGAAAACGCTGAGGGTCACGTCTGTGCGGAGCGGCCTTCCCAGCCCGGAGCTGCGGAAAGCCATCCCGGAGCTGCAGCAGCTGAAATGCTCCTTTGTGTAGGAAAGGAGCCCGTTTCTTTTTGCCTCTTAGTTTTACTCAGGCCACATCTCAGCAAGAGTTGAGGGAGAGCACTTGGGCAGTGACGTGTGGTAGAGAGGCCTGAAGCCAAAGGTGGTGTTATCAGGGCCAATAGTGAACACGTGTGACAAAGTCTTGCTGAGCTGAGCCACGGTGGCCGGTCTCACGAGGACGGGATGCAGAGTACTGATTTGAAAGGGGCGGGTGATGCATTTACCTGACAGCTATCAATGCCTTGGAGAAGTGCGGTATTGCTGATAATGCTGATCAAAGTTTAAGAGTGTACTCTGGCTGGGCTAGTAGTGAAAAGAATGGATGTTTAAGAGCCCTTGTACCTTGAGTTAATGTTTATGGGTGAGCCTAATTACACTAGGAGTGAAAGGAAAAGAGTTGCGTAAATGACGTCCCCATTCTTCCCAGCCTCTAGGCCACTGCTGAAATTCAAAATTTAAGAACAGTTTAAGTTAAGAACAGTTAAGTTTAAGAACACAAAAGTGAATCCCTCTAGGCCACTGCTGAAATTCAAAATGTTTTTTCTTGCTGAAGTTTAAGAACACAAAAGTGAATTAATGCTCTTGTCTTTCTGGTGTAGCTGGCAGAGAGGCAGATGACATCGTCAGCTGGCTGAAGAAACGCACCGGTCCAGCTGCAACTACCCTGACAGACGCTGCTGCAGCAGAGACACTGGTGGATTCCAGTGAAGTGGCTGTGATTGGCTTCTTTAAGGTAGTCTTTTGCTTACGTCTGAGACTCCTGCATGTGTTCAGTGTCTTCTGTGCTTTCTGCCCTATGGGGACCTGACAGCTCTTCATAGATTGTGAAACACTTGCTGTCCTGCTTTACTTGATCTTCAAGTTCTCTGGCTGGTAAAGCCTTGGAGCTTTTGGCTTCAGCTTGTATCCCAATGAAACACCTTTCCTCATTCTCCAGGATTTGGCATCAGATGCTGCCAAGGAGTTTTTGCTGGCAGCAGAATCCATTGATGACATTCCCTTTGGGATCTCGTCCAGTGCTGATGTCTTCTCCAAGTACGACCTTAGCAAAGATGGAGTTGTCCTCTTCAAGAAGGTACGGGTTGATGTGAGCTGTGAGCACCAGGCTGAACTTGTCTTCTACTTGGTCTTAGCTTTTCTCATTAGAGAGCTAGGCTCCAAGGAAGTCAGCGATCGACTGCTGTGTGAAACTGTAAATGGTCCTGTGCTCTCAGATAAGTGATTTCACCCCCAGAGCCTGGGGAGAGGGGCTGAGCTGCAGCCTGGGGGGCCCTCCTGTGGGCCCTGCTCCTCAGTGGGGCACCCCTCAGCAGAGGGCAGCACTGCTGCTCCCTGCCCAGAGCTGCTGGCGTTCCGGATCCAGAGCGTTGCCTCCGTCTTGTCCTGTTTCTCAAATACCTGCAGTGCAGAATGGCCAGTGCTATCTTGGAAATATTTATTGCCATAACTAATGAGGTTTCCCTCGGCCCTTATCAAACTTTGAAGGTCTTAAACAGAACAGCAGCCAAGCTCCTGCTGACTTCCCATGATATTCTAGTTGCTGGTAACTTAAAGTGTTTTTAAAAGCAGTTGCTGTTGACTGCTGCAGTCAGTTGGTGGCTGTGTCCAGGAGGCCTGTGTGTCCTCTCTGTTCAAGCTACTGCAGCTCTGCTGCATAGTGATTACACCAAGGCTTATAAGAGGATTTGCAGTTTCAGCTCAGTGGGCTGGGGCAGTTGTATCACATGCAGAGGGGTGCACAGAATCAGAAATAAGTTCATTAATGCCTTTTACCTACTGGAATCCTCATTATCAGATAAAATTCTGGATTTGGGAAGATAAGAGTTCTTTAGAATTGATGCTGCTGCTTATATAGGGAGCAGTAAGGCAGGACAGAGCTACTTTAGGTTCAGACTGATTAAACTTGTGAGCACAAAGGTCAATCTGACCCAAAGAGGAGCTAAAGCATTTCATTATTATTTTTTTTAAACTTCATTCACTTAATTCAACTAAAATAGCTGAAATTGTAGTTTTGTTTTTATAATATTAGGAGTTTGTATCCTGAAATTAAGACTGAGATTCCTCAGGCCAGATGAACTGGGGGTGCAAGTTAGACTCTCCAGCAAGGATGGCCAAGTGTAGGGTGTGAGGCCAAAGTGTTTTCATATTGAGTGACTGACTCCCTGCACTTTGTTCTCTGGCCTGTATAGCTCTGCTTATGTAATCCCTTCATGTGCTGTCTTCATGGTTAATGCTAGGTCGAAATAACCATTGGCAGGGATTTTCTTACTTTTTGTTTGTGCCTTTCAACAAATGCTCAAATCCAAAAAGAAACGTTCCCCTAGAACTGGTGTTCTCTTCACTGGCAGTCATGGGGAGTGCTGCTCTCTGACTTGGAGCTGGACAACATACTGAACTGCCTTGAGGTAGCTAGGCTAAGACTTCCAGCACCGATAAGTTATTGACCTTTTTTTTGACAGTTTTTTATTTATATGTTGTGTGTGTACTGTTATGTTTTATTCTCTTTAGTGTCTTCTGCAGTCTTGGATGCCTAAGGAACAATAAAGGAATTAATTGACCTAGTACTATTTTGTAACACAAGTTCTCACAAGTTCTTGCGAACGGTTGCTGGTTTCTCCACTTACAAAGAACTGAGGCAATGGTGTGACCCTTCCGTAATCATAAAGAAATTCTCAAGCCATTTTCTGTGATTGACTTGAGCATATCTGGAATTAAAAGCATTTCTGTTTCTGGCAACTTCGATGCTAAAAATAAATTAGGAAGGGAAGGGCCTTGATTGTGAGCCGAAGATGAGCAGTAAGGTGCTGTAGGAGTAACCTGCTCTGTGGAAGAAAAGACAGATGCCTGTGAGCATCTCTCCCTGTTCTTGTCTTGATGCTATGTCATCATAGTGCCAAGAGTGGTCTAGAAATGTGTCTGGTCTCCCCAGACTAAGGTGAAAATGAGCAGCAATGTTAATCAAATACAGATGCATGATAACCGCTCTGCCGTTTATTCTACTGTAAGTTTTAGGTCTCTGGAATTTGACTCAGCTTCCTGCAGTTAGTCAAGGCTACATTGAGAGTGTTTATTGGCTAGTCATCCTTACCTCACCCTTTGTGTGAGTTGTCTGGACTTGCACAGACTCTGGAACAAGCATTTTGAAGGCATTAAGATGATGGCCAATGCCCTTATAGTATTCATAAAGTTATTTTCCAAAGGTAAATGCTTTGCTCAGCTTTTTCAGCTGAGACTGATAGGCTTTTTCTAACTTGAGGTTATTTGAGCTCAGTCTCTTGCCTCTGCCAGTGACTCCAGCATTGCACTGCCATGGGGCTGTGGTGGTATCCTGCACATCCTCTCTTTAACCTTGATGCTCCTCCACTGCTTTTCCCTTCCAGGCTCACAATGATGGTCTGAGAATCCTGGTCAGTGGTACAGGTGTTGCCATAAGTTGAAAGGGATTTGGCATCTGTAACAAATGTGTGTTACACACGTGCTGTTGTCTCACAACAGAGGCTGAAAGGGCCCCTCGGTGCTGAGTAAACTGCAGTTCCTCCCGTGCATGGTGTGGCCTTTGGTGGTGCCATCTGTGTAACGTGTGTCCCTGCTCCGGCACTAACTGGCGCTCGTGGCAGCTTTTCCAGCCTGATGCTGTCTGCGGTTTTATAAGGCAGCCATTACATTAGTTCTCCTTGGTGAGACAATTAGCAAATGGTTTTGCGATCATGCAGATTAATACAAAGAGCTAGGCTGAATGTCTTGTTGCTGCTCCCTTTTGCTGTTCAGGATTTAGGATATTGCTTGTGGGGAAGATGAGTACACTGATCCAGATTGTATGTGGAAATGTGCTGGCCTTGTTGAGAGATGGAAATTTGTTCTAAATAAGTGCAGCTGGGATCTGTCAAGGCTGGATTCTGGTGTGAATGCATCTTGAAGGAAATTCTATGGAGTATAGAAGGGTAATGGGTTCTAATGCAAGAATATATCTAATTTGAGGTGACCTTGTTTTTACAGTTTGATGAAGGCCGTAACAACTTTGAAGGGGATCTCACAAAAGAAAACTTACTGAACTTCATCAAGGCTAACCAGCTACCCCTGGTCATAGAGTTCACTGAGCAGGTAGGCCTTCAGATATTTGGTCAGCTCTTTCTGTTGCCATGGTATAATTTTGCTTAGTTGAAAAATGTAGTTTGGGTGAGTTTTTGCTGTCTTGAAGCTCTTCTAGCAGTTATTAGTCTCCTTGATAACCCTGACTACGTTAGACTACGTTAGGCCTCCTTTTCCCTTGTGCAGAACAGCTCTAAGTCTGGTGTTCAAAGCAGCCCTGTACTGTTGCAGACCTCTGTGGTTCAGTCAAAATGGCAGAACCCCACTGGCCTCACCACTGTGACTACTTCTTTTCCAAAAATAATTTATTTTCTCTTCCTCAGACTGCTCCTAAAATCTTTGGAGGAGAGATCAAGACTCATATTCTGCTGTTCTTACCAAAAAGTGTGTCTGATTATCAAGAGAAATTGGACAATTTCAAGACCGCAGCTGGAAGCTTCAAAGGGAAGGTGAGATTGGATTTCTTGGATTAAGAATTCGGTGATCGCCTCCTGCAGCGAATTATAGCACTATCTGCCTGTAGTTTCCTTATGCCCCGGAGGAAGAGTGGAAGGTCCTGTTTGTGTCCCTTGCTAATAGGTGACCGTGTCACTTGCTGCCTTGAGCAGTTACAGCAGCCGGTAGGAGTGCAGGGCAGGCAGCTCTGCCTCTGTGAGTGTAAATCTGAGTGTGCTGTAATGGGTGTTAGTGCCAGGTCTGCCAGGCTGCCCTTGGTGGGGCAGTTTAGCAGCTGGCTATGCAAGTGCCTTGCAGAAGTGTTCTTAACCAAGAGGTTCTTGTCCTCACCATACTCTTTTTGATTCTTTTCTTCCTCCAAAGATCCTGTTCATATTCATAGACAGTGATCACAGTGACAACCAGAGGATTTTGGAATTTTTTGGCCTGAAGAAGGAAGAATGTCCTGCTGTACGTTTGATCACACTGGAGGAAGAAATGACCAAATACAAACCTGAATCGGATGACCTCACAGCAGACAAGATCAAAGATTTCTGTAATAAGTTCCTGGAGGGCAAGATAAAGGTAATGAAGATGAATGCTGGTAATATTCCTGCTTTCTACTGGCTAAGCATTTTTTTTTTTTAAAGTGTGCTATATGCAAGTCAATTGGAGAAAATCCTTCCAACTACCTTGCAGAACATCTTGTGAGCTTTGTGTTGAGAATCATGAAGGCCATGGGGAAGCAGTCACATACTGGTACCTCAATATGCTCTTTCTGCTGCTTAGAGGAAATGTGCTGTTTATCCAGCTGTTCTTTCTGCTAGCAAGCTGTGGGGAAGGTTTTTTAACTTTTGTGTGGCAGAGAGCTTAAGAGCCCTCAGCTCCTACTGCCTGGAGGTAGCTGTGTGTAATGGTGGTTCAGTAGTGACTGTTTAGCTAAGCTCAGTCATGTGGGAATGACATAGTCAGCAATTCATGCTTCCAGCAGAGCAAAATTGCAGTTCTTTCCAGACAAGAGCACCTGTTCTTCCCACTTGTTCAGGGTGGGGAGCAGCCTTTCTGTAAGAGAAAGAGGAAGCAACTGATTTGTCTGATTGCTTTTAGCCTATGATTGGGACACTGAGGGAGTTGTGTAAGTGGGTATTTTCTTGGATGTGCAACTGCTTGTGTATTCCAAGCAGCTCTACAGCAAACTGGTTCTTTAAATTCAGCTTCTTATTTCAGCCCCACCTGATGAGCCAGGATCTTCCTGAAGACTGGGACAGCCAGCCAGTCAAAGTTCTAGTTGGGAAGAACTTTGAAGATGTTGCTTTTGATGAGAACAAGAACGTCTTTGTAGAGTTCTGTAAGTATCTATCAACAGCTGATTCCAAGTAACTCTTGTGAAAGGGGTGCCAAGAAACTTGGAGGGCTACAGTGGGGGAGAAAGCCTTTTATGATGGAATCTGGGCCACCAAAGGAATGCATAAGTGGAAAAGATTAGTGTGTGGAGTAGGTTGTTTGGTGCTAGCTCTGTTTTTTTAATTAACAGATGCTCCCTGGTGTGGTCACTGCAAGCAGCTCGCTCCAATCTGGGACAAGCTTGGAGAGACCTACAAGGACCATGATAACATTGTCATTGCCAAGATGGATTCAACAGCCAACGAAGTAGAGGCAGTGAAAATCCACAGCTTCCCCACACTCAAGTTCTTCCCTTCAGGCCCTGGGAGAAATGTAAGGCAGCAGCTCTCTCTACAGGCCATATAACAAGGGAGCACTGGAAGTCTTTAGTGGTCTGCTTTTGTTTCCTATTTTGGAAAAAGGCTTGTGGGAGGGCTCTCTGCTTTGCAGGGATGGAACACACCAGAACAGGTCTACAGGACATCCGAGACCCTTTGGGAGGGACTGGAATTTGTGGGTGGAAGTGGGAATGGGGGAAAAGAGGGAAGTACAGCAGAGGACTGTGCTCATCTGTAGGCTATTCTCTCCTCGCAGTGATCTCTGAAGTCTAGTGGCTGAGCTGTTTTCCTTCGTCTCATATGGGTGAAGGTGAATTTTTAAATTCCCTTTTGCTTGGCATGTTAACTGTTGCTCAGAAAGAGAATTCTCCTCTCCAGGGGTGTGGTTCTCTATGTGCCCATGACCACTATCTTGGTGTTTTCTCCTCTGTAGGTAATTGACTATAATGGGGAGCGGACGCTAGAAGGCTTCAAAAAATTCCTGGAGAGCGGAGGTCAGGACGGCGCGGCTGCTGATGATGTGAGTCCGAAACTAGTGCCCTGCTTTGGGCAGGCAGAGTATGGAGAGCGGGCTGAATCTGCTGCTGTGTGATTCCCAGGGCCTAAATAAGATCCTGAGTAGTTGTGTGGTGAGGAAGAACCTTGGTGGCAAATAAAAGTGTAGTTGCATCATAGCTGAACAGACAGGTTCTAGGTGATGCCCTGCTAGCTATTGGCCTGTGATGGACTTTTATTTAGAGTGCTTGGGTTGGGTGTGAAATAAAAGCCTCTTGGGAGGCCTAAATACAAGTGCATGGAAATGGCTGCTCCTGCAGCCTCTGAATCCTGCACAGGCTGTCTGTGGTCATCGTGCACAGGGCTCGAGCACTTAGGGCTTGCTCCTTTCTTGAGGCTGCCTGCCCAGCACCTGGAACTTCAGCAAGGTGATGAATGCTGCCATGCTGAATGTTTAGGTGGAAGTTCCTCTGTCTGGAGGAGAGGGTGTTACTGATGCAGGCAGTGGCTTCATGGGCTTCTGATCTTCATTTTTTTCTCAAATTCAGCTCTTAATTGGAAGCCTTGGGATGATTTCTTAACACAGCAGCAGAGGACACAGTAGATGGATCAGAGAAACTGTTCTGTGCTTAGTTTTGGATCTGCTCAAGGTGCTAGAAACTGACAGTTATTTTTGTATTCTACACAGGATCTAGAAGATCTAGAGACAGATGAAGAAACAGACCTCGAGGAAGGTGATGATGATGATGACCAGAAAATCCAAAAAGATGAATTGTAAAGGAAAGACTGATCTACATCACCCAAAAATCAGACACTAAACTCACTGCTGCTGTTCAGCCCAGTGAGTCCAGAAACCCATTAAGATTTAAAGCAGAAGGCGAGTGACTGGAAATCCAGGGATTGGCTTTTAAAGTAACACTTCACCCTCACTTGTCTGTACACTCGACTGTCTTTTCTTACTTTTCAGCTTTGAGAAGGGATCTGTCACTAGGTAGCCATCCCAGCCAGCTGGGCTCTTTTTTTATTGTAAAGTACTTTTTTGTACATGGCTTTTGTTTCAAGTATTCTGTTCTTCTGGGTAGAAACAGGTTGTAAAGTGGTAGCATGAGTTTAATTGCTCAACATGTTGGAGCCTTGCCACTAACATCTTCCACGAGTGCTTTTTCCCTTTTTTCTTTTAAATCTAAAGACCACAGTGGTTTGTTTGTTTTCCCCCCACCTGGCAAGGTCCTTAATTTTCTTGGCTCTTCCATGCAGTCAGCCCTCAGTGCACGTCAGGCAAGAGGCCAAGGTCCTTAATTTTCTTGGCTCTTCTTCCATGCAGTCAGCCCTCAGTGCATGTCAGACAAGAGGCAGTAGGTTGACTGCATCATTCTGGTGAGAGGTAGATATGAAGATGCTTCTCTACGTGCTGGCCAGATGTTTCATTTTCCCTCTGCTTTCTGACATTTGGAGCTGACTGTCCCAAATACCTGGAAGGGCAGAATACTGTGTGCTGGCTGTGGCAGGCTCTGGAGGGTGCAGGTGGAGACTGGCTCACCGGCTTAGATGAGACCTAGCTGTGTTGCCACCCCTTTGATCAAATGCAAAACTGTTTTGCAATCACTTTCCATGTGTTATTTTGAATGGGTTGACCAGGCTGGTGGGTGGTGTGGGAGGGCCTGAATAAAATATGGCAAACAAGACACTTAAGATTACTGGGTTTTAGGGAGGAACTTGAACAGGGGAGTGGCTCAAAGGCCTGAGCAAAATCAGGCTGGTTCTTAGCATTCCGCTATAGTAACATTGGAGCTGAATTTGTTGGCCAAATAAAGTTGAGATTTTAATACTATTATGTGTGTCTCTTTCAAAACAGAGCTAATATTTGGACCTGAGCTTAAAGTAGGTCAGGTTTCTGGGATGATTCAGGATTCTGCTAAAATGTTGGAATGGATCAGCTTTTCCTTAGGCTTGTGCTTAATACCATGCTTTGAGAGTAACTGGAATTCCTGAACCCTTCCACCTTTGTGGGTGGCTCCGTCATGCCTTTAGTACAAGCGCTTTCAGGCTCTGTCTCCAGTCTCTAAAGAAAACCACTTAATCTCCAGACTAAGTCACTTCATGCGGGCAGACAACCACCAGCTCTGATAGGAGCGCGAGGCCGCTGGCCTGGGCTTGGAGAATAAGCAGCTCTAGTTGCCAGCTGGCTCGGGGTCGGACTCAACTGCTTCAGAGCAATAACCCAGGAATTTGCATTCGGGGAAACCTGGGCCTGCCTGCAGCTCTGCTCTTCAGGCTCACATGATCCAGTGAGCTATACTGCTATTTCCAAACTGGTCACTTGCTGTTGAAAATATTTTTGCAAGGAAATATGCTATAAATGTCACAGGGGGAGGGGATAGTGAACCTGGATGCCAGTCGAGGAGGCTACTGGCTCTTGTTGCCTCATGAGTGTGAACTGGAGCTGTAGAGGCGGCGGCTCCTTCACTGCTGGGCTGCAGTGCCAGCTCCCACCTTCTACGGTGTGGAAATAGTCCTGGCTTGGGGTGCACAAACAGGACAGCGGTAGTGACCTGCACTGGACACCACTGAGCCATGGGATCTGTGAAGAGGGTTGACTTAACACTTAGTCATGTTCCCTATGCTATTAGCTGTGGCCAGGAGCAGGATGAGTCCTGCCAGGGCTGTGGGCCTGCTCTGTCCACAGCCCCCTTGGCAGGGCAGTATCTGAACAGCCTGGGTCTGGAGGGGGGCTCAGTGCTGGTGGCTGCTTTGCTTTGGGAAGGGGAGAGGAGGAGGCTGTTAGGAAATTCCCTGGAAGGCTCCCTGCTCAAAAAGGATCTGTTTTTGTGGAGGCAGTTAAAGAAGTGTAACCAAAGCTAAGCTCAGTAATTGCGATGTAGGTGACAGCCCCTGACCTGGTGTCCTCCCCTTACAGGAGTGGGGGCTTTTCCCATCTCCCAGGGCTGCTCTGGCAGAGCAGGACTCTGTCCCAGGGAGTCCTAACTGCCCTTCCAAGCAAACAGGCTCTGTCCATGCAGTGGGGAGCTGAATGCCCATGGTGTTCTCTGTCGTGTGGTCTGTATTGTTTGCAGAGCAAAGGTGTCCATGAAAAACACGAAACAATTTGCTAGGGGCAGTTCTGAGGCGCAGTGAAGTGATTCCCACCCACGAGCCCTGCTGCAGAGGGGGCTCAGTGGAAGTTCTGTTGTAAAAAGGACCCTCCTGTGCGTCCCTTCTTGCCCGGTGGTGGCAGAGGTGCTGCTGTGCGTCACTGGTGACACCAGCGGCTGGCCGCGG